GTGCTTACGTGGCTGAAAGCTGGGCTTCCCCTCACTGTGACCCCGACTCTGGAGTGCTCTCTGGAGAACACAGCGGCTTTCACTGTCTGCGTGACGCCATGCAGTGTGTCCGGAGAAGAGGAGCTGACTCGTGTCACGGAAAATTAGCGTCCTTCTTTGTGACGGTGCCTTTGGGAAGGAAAGGCAGACTGACAGGCCTTCCTGTTGTGCCAGGGGCTCCCTCCAGGCTGACTGCGTCTCTCCTGGGGCTCTGAATGCCGGCTTTGTGCCCTCCCGACGTCAGGAGCCTCTGGTGCTGCGCGCTCCTCGAGGCGGGCGTGGGGCAGCGCTTTGTGTCGCCGTGGAATATTCATGAGAATACAGGCTTTTCTGTGTGGATGCCGAGGCTGTGGGAGAAGCTCTCATTGTCTGCTCAGGGCACTCTGGGGCAGAGGACCAGCAGGCCTCCTTGGGGAACTCGAGGCATTTCCAGGGTTTTTGATACAGAAATAGCACGAGTCACGTTTGACGTAGCCCCAGTGCCGCACAAGTGGGTGGGGATGGTGGTTCCCGGCTCTGCAGCTGGCTCCCCGGCAAAGCCTGGCACAGCTTGGCTGCAGCCCCACCACCTGGCCTCCTGATGCTGGCACTGGGAGGGGAGGCGGGGTTGCCCAGCAGCCTGTGGGTGGGTCTCCTTGTCTGCAAGATTTGAGTCCTTGTTTTTGTGTCCATCTGTCGAGGCAGCTTTGTTTGTGGACACGAGGCAGCAGCAGTGGTGGGCCAGGGGACGGGGGTGCTGACGAATGTCATCTGATTTCTCTGCCCCACATCTGACTGGCATGGCTGAGGCTGGTGTTTTGGGTGGTACCTCAAGACAGTGAACCAAGGCTAAGTGCCGTCCCGTTCCAACATGTGAAAAAGGAGGAGCCACCAAGAGGCTGCTCCGAGCCCCCTGGGCCCTCTGCAGGCGATGCTGCTCCCACTCGGGGCTTTCAGAAGCAGCCTGGTCCGGCTCCCCGGGCAGAGCAGGGCTGTCTGCAGCCTCCTGCAGCCCAGTGGCTCTCCGCTGGGACCTGCACTCACTCTCTGGTGTCGGACCAGCATGTGCCGTGGCAGTGCCCCACCACTGGTTCGCTCTCCGTGTCTGGCGCATGCCAGCCACCTGCTGCTGGTGTGGGACAGGCCTGTGCTGGCCACCCTCCTCCTGAGCTGTGAGGCCCTGGGCATGCATGGGAAGACCTGGATAGAGTTGGGACCTGGGAACGGATGGCATCTGCACGGAGGTTCAGACATGTGCGTGGGGGCCGGAGACAACGGCCAGTCTGTGCAGGGCGAGCTCCGGCTGTGTCCTCAGCCGTGTGTGCCTGTGTGCCCCTGGCTCTGCTGACCGCTGTGTAGTCCAGTTTGGGCATTCGTTTCAAGATGAAATTTAAATCAATTTGGGGGCTCTTATAAGTTTCCAAGAAAATAGCTTCAAAAACCACTCGAATCAATGCCTTAGGAACTAGAGCACTAATAGGTTGAGTGCCTGGGATGAAAAAAGGTAAAGAAAAAAGGAAACCCCACAGTAAAGCCTCCCCTCGCTGTTCTCACCTCCTGCCCCCCCCCCCCCCCCCCCCCCGCCGCGGCCCCCCCCCCCCCCCCCC